GGATATTTTTTTTTTTTTTTTTTTTTTGATGATTATGGTGTAACTGGGTATTATTTATTTGTATGCATTTTCTTAATTGGAGATTGAGAGTGTTTTTGGATGCTGAAAATAATGGGGAGTTGTGGATGATGGATTTTGATCTTAATTTTGAAATTAGGAAAGTGTTGGTGGATAATATTTTTTATACTTTTCTCATTTCTAGTTCTGAGAAAAGAATAAATTTTTGGCGTGCTTTTTTTGTTTAATTACTGCTTTTTAGGGAAATCCAAGTTCAAGATTAGCCAACTTCTTGATTGATAAGTGTTTTATCTTGTTTAACTCTTTTCCAATATCCGTCTCGAGCTTTGCTTTCTATTTCAGTTCTTCTTTTTTTTTTGTTTTACGCGAATACATTTATGAATTTGAAGAATACAACAAGAAGTAAGAAGATTGCATTTACATATGTATTGAATAATTTTTAATATTATTTAAATAAATATTAATAAACAACCTCACTATCGTCAATTGTCGACGGTCAATGGTCAACGTCCGTCCGAACAGAACTTCAATGTTGTGGCCGCCACTTAGTGAGATTACTCAAAGTCTCAAACAAACACCATAGTTCGATCCATTTTTCGAGAATAAACTTCATTAAAATAATTTTTTTCAAAAAAATGTATTGTTGAGAAATAAGAAAAAAATTTTAAAATTATGTACAATTATTATGTTGAGAGAACATATAATTGACAATGAATTTTGAATAACGTAATTTAAATAAATGCTTAATACCTTAAGTATCATGATATGAAGCACTGAAATCAATCACCTGAGTGAAAATCTTGACATGCGAAATTGTTACTATCGACGCCGTGAATTATAAAAGATGCCTACCAATTTCAATTGTATTCCTCGCTCTTGTTCAACATTTTGATTTTTCAAATTTAAATAATTTGTACTGAAATCTTTTGTATCTTTGTGTAACATATAATGCTACTCAAACAAAGCAAGAAAAGGCCCAAAAACGGGGGCTAAGGTCTTGATTTCAATTATTGTAATTAAAATCAAGGGCTGAGGTGCATCCACCTCAGCCCCTTGTTTTGTGCATATTTTCCACCCTGTTTGAGTAAGCAGGGCCCACATAACAATTACACTCAATTTGTCATGACATCACATAGACATCGAGACCTAAATTAACGAAGTGATTCGTCACTCAACACTAAAAATTACGAGCCCCTAGCCTCTCAGTCAAATCATATTCTAAAAAAGAAATTGTAAAAAATGTCCACTTTTATATAATCATTTAGAAAAATATTCAAAAAATTTTTAATATCCATTTTACTATAATATAGATCGAAATACCCTCATTAACAATTTTAAATTCCATAATAAAGACAAAATTATTTATATAATTAAAAATCGTATTAACCAATAATAACTTGACAGAAAATCTATGCTACTTATTTTAAAAAGTATCATGTCAAGCATACATTAAATGCTTACTTCTTCCTATAAGTGGATAAATAAAATATTTATGAGATGTTGAGAAGTACACTTAAAATGTCAAAAACATTATAAAATGCAAAAAACTCTCACGTTCAGAATGAAATCTCATTCTGAACAAATAAAGTGTCAAGATAAATATGATCTACATGTCGATAACATTTTTAAAATTGTCGAAAATATCATGAAATGTCAAGAACACAACTTATCAACAAAACAAGATTTCAAAAAAAAAAAAAA